ATAGTTGTGGTGAATAGGAGGCACATATTGACATTAGATCTTTCTTTTTCTCTACCATTATCCATCTTTATTAGGGAAATAAGAAATCTAACACCATGTATGGATTTGTTGAGATACGGTCACGTATTTTTTTCGTGAGATCAGAAAAATAACTATCAGTGTTACAGGTATATTTAAAACACATTTCTCGGCCGAGATTGTGGTAACTGAATCCAAGAAATTTTAAGCCATTCTACTTTTTCTCCTGTAATCCCTTTCTGCCTATTGACGATGTCGTGCTCAGAATTTTTTGGTACTGAAAAAATAATTTTTTTATTAAGAAGACCTAAAACGACTTTTATATTCCTATTCTGCCCTCCACAATCAGAATATAAATTTGGGATGGATGTTGTTTCAGGCAAAAAAGAAATATACTTGATCAAACATGACACAATCTCTTGAACACTACGCGAAGCAACACTTTTGTTCCATACAAACGTATGACCAATGTTTTCAACTTCATTATGTAGACAAAAATTGAAATCCCGTATCTGTCATTTGTAATAAGTTACATATGTAGGTACACAGAACTGGCACTTCTGCCTTTTTTGGTGTAGGTTCCTTTTCACTTCTATCTTAGTTTTCTCTTCCCCTTCATGTAGCGGCTGCCGGCCAGGTGAAGTATTCTATTAATTATTTTAATTAATCCAAAAATTAAAAAGGACAATTAGCTTTATGAGCTGTACTTGACGGTCAGGTTATGACCTGTGTCGCCCGCCTTGTATGATTCAACTAAAGTTGTTGAATATCTCGTTTCAAATGCCGGAGCCGTTTGCACAAACAGCTTTGAGTACAGCTCAGAGGTTTCGCAGCTACGATATCTTGGAATTTGTCTAATTTAGTTTAGTGGAGATTATTAATACATTTCTCTGTGGTTTGTTTCGGATATTATGTGTTGTGCTGGATTTCTTTTGGACAAAAATAATTGTAGACAGACATAAATCTAATTAATCACTTGGTGTGTAATATATTAGAGACTCCGTTTAGGCATTGGAAAAATGAAGATAAGAAGGATGTTTTCTTACATGGTGGCCCAACCAGTATTTTAAACATGGGATTAAAAAAGTCTCCTTGGTTTACAGAATTCAATTGGCTGTATAGTAGCACAGTGACACAAAAATTATATTGCTGACCATGTTTACTTTTTTCAAATAAACATTCAGTGTGGAATAGAGACGGTTTTATAGATTTTTTAAATTTTAATATTAAATATAAGCACGCAGCTTCTGGAGAGCATTTAAAAGTCCACTTAATGTTTAGAAATTTCGAACAAAATCAAAATATGATTGCCGACACCTTAAAAGAAAACGTCAGATTATATAAATTAAATTTTAATGAAAATGTTCTATTGAATAGGCAACAAGAGTGGCTTTTTAGGGAACATGATGAGAAATGTGACTCATGTAACAGGGGTAATTTTAAGGAATTATTAAATTTTGTTAACTGTTCAAGCCCTATTGAAATTAAAAATCGCTATGAAAAAAATGAAAAATGTTTTTAGTAGAGAATTAAAAACAATTCTAAATGAATTAATTGAGTGCATTTTTATTTTATCCATTGTTTCCCCTTCAATATGATGATAGTACTGACATAATACAGACGTCGCAGTATTCAATAATATTAAGTTGCATACATTCTCAGGGATTATTAATTAAAAGGTTTATGAGATTTTACGATGTAAGTGCCGGTAGAATAGCTGAGCATTTGTTTCCTATGGCTGCGACAGTTTTAGAGCCTTTGCAATACAGGCATAAGCTTGTAGGGCAGTGTTACAATGGAGTCAGTGTGAAGTTCGGGCACATATATGGACTTAAACAAAAATTAAAAATCACAATGCCCACACGCAATTTTTGTGCATTATCTAGCCTGTCGACTTAATCTACAGAGCTTTAAGAAAATATCAAAATGCCGAGTTTTTGCAACTGTTACATCGTTACAAATCATCGTTTTTTCGTAGCTCAGTAAAACGATCGTACGCTCTTGCATCTACATCAGTTAGACGCATGCCAGCAATTACAGAGACAGGATGGTCGTGAATTTAATCAGTGTAGTTATTGAAGCGTAGCAAAAATTCAAATGCGGCGTGTAGGTATAAAAGAGAAAAACAAGATCTACGCACACATTTTTGCTGGTTTAAATTCTCATTGTACAAATGAGCGCTCGCTCTGCTATAGAAGTTTTTGAGAATATGAATTCTGAAAAGTCGGACCGCAAATCAGTTCAGCTGGCTAGGCTTTTAGGAGACTTAAATGATTTTGAGTTTACTTAGAATTAATTAAAACTCCAAAAGGATTAAGTTCAACGCTTTCGGACCAATCATGCAGTCCATCTTAAGTGAACTTTATAGTACTTGCAAAATAACCTCAAACAGTGGTTGGGTTTACATGGATTAAACCATACTTGTGTTAAGTATAGGTTGGTACAATAGTGTAGGTTGGCTACATTGTACTTATGTAAAACTAAACGACCAATATTAATTGTAAGCAAGACAAGATGGTTGTAATATGTTATTCGAAATAATTAATAATATACTTATTTTGTCATTTATAAACTAAATACTGAAAAGGTTATGGACCCAGCTGACTCCTTGACAAGTAAGTAAAGTATAAATCAAGAAAACGTGATTATATTGGAAGATGTTTACAGGTCAACAATTTCCTATTCTCGCAGGAGAGAATTTTAATAGTTGGAAGTTTCGTGTCAAGATCCTATTAAATGAAAAGAGAGTATTACCAGTGATTGAAAGTTTAGATCCAACACAGAGAGAAAATTTTAGAGATGACGATTCAAAGGCAAAATCCATTATAGTTCAATGTGTGACAGATAAACATTTAGACATAAAAGATGTAAAAACCGCCAAAGAAATGATGAAAGAAAGCACTTGAAGACGTATTCGAAGGAAAAAGTATATTTAAGAAACTTACATTAAAAAAGAAGCTATTGACTTTGAAGTGTAAAAGAGATTAAAAACTGGAAGATCATTTTATGTATTTTGACAAAATTATAAGAGAACTGGAAGGTATAGGTAGTAAGATAGATGAATCAGACAAAGTATGCCATCTTCTTTTAACCCTTAATGAAGAGTATGCAGCTGTAATTACCGCAATAGAAACATTAAACACTGAGGTAACTATGGAGTTCGTTAAATCTAGATTATTAGATGAAAACTGAAAAAAATTGATAAAAACATCACTTAATATGAACAATGAGGCAGCATTCAAAGTAAGTGATTTCAAATATGGTAAAATGGGCCATAAATCATATGAGTGTAGAAGCAAAACTTCTAACCGGAGTAGAGGAAGTAGTAGTTTCAAAAGACATGGATTTTATAGAAGTAACTTTGAGCGTGCAGGTTATGTAGAAGAAGAATTAGGTTTTATTGCGATAGATTCCATTAATGAAGTTGAACACCAGAAAACGTCCAGTGGTGAAGAAATGATGCAAGGGAGATAATGTTCTTGATTTTATAAATGTAAAAATAAACATAATGTTAAAACTAAGAGTATCAGACTAGATAATGGGGGTGAATTCTCATCACATAAATTTCAAAATATTTGTAGACAAATGGATATTACGTTGCAGTATACTCAACCATACACACCACAGCAAAATGGTACATCTGAAAGAATGAATTGTACATTGATAAAGTTAGAGTCAAACTAGCAGAAACTAAATTGCCTAAACATTTATTGGATGAAGCCTTATGAATTGAACAGGAGTCCTACAACAGCTAATGATTTTAAAACACCATCTCAGATATGGTATGGTAAAAATAATATTCATTATCTTAGAGCTTTTGGTTCTAAAGCATGAAGTGTACTTATTATTCCAAAGCCGAATAAATTTGATATTAGAACAACAAAAACAATATTGGTAAGTTATTCTAATTCAGGATATAGATTGTGGGATTGTAAAAATAATTACATCTACGATGTTATTTTTGATAAAAACAAGTTAAGTATAAAGATAGTGTAACTGATGATGGGTATTGATAACAGTAAACATCAAACAGTTTGGATAAAAAATAAAGGAAATTCTGAAGATGGAAGCAACAAAAATGAAAGTTTAGCTGAAAGGAAGAATTAATTAGAAATGAAATAGAAAGTAATGAAGAGGATCCCATATGTACCTATACTAGAAGGAGAAGAGAAGTAAAATTGGCAAAGGATTTTAAATTAAAGTTATATTCAGCTTATTACTTATTATCATTGAATGGTGAACCAGAGAAGTTTGAAGAAGCGCAGAAAAATGGAGAGTGGAATAATGCAATTAGTGCAATAATACTTTAGTGTATCTATCTTAACATCTCAAGTAAACAAATTAACATACGTCATTGTTAAACATAGATTCTAACTCGATGTTGTTAAATTTGTCTGTACGAAAAATATGGCAATTGATGAAAACTCCTTTACAAAGAGAGAAAGCTTTTAAAAAGTACATTTTTATTATATGGATTTTACAATTTTTTAATTTATATAAAACACGAACAACTAAATATTTGATTCTTTCGATATTAATTGCAGTTAATCATTAGAAATTTTCTTGGCTATTGCCCTTTGATAGATTTGGCAATCCTCAAACCAACAGTTGCCAGATTGTAATTGCAACAAATGGTCCTCACCCCTAATCTATGATGGTTCTCAGATGTCCGCGGAATATACCTACATACTATTTAAGTGTTTATTTTGATAAAAATCCTTCAATATTATCAACAACAGCTTTTTATAAATTATAATTAAATATGGTTGCAAAAAAAACGTTCCAGCAGAATAGTTCTTTTAACTAATGAAGTAAACGAAGAAGAATAATTGAGGTTACATGAAAATATTAGTTTGTTTACATTTTCATTTAATATTTTAAGGTTCCTAGTTCCTACGTTCCTACCATTCCAAATTCAATTAATTTATTTAACACTCATTGACGGTTGAAATGTATTTAGTATATTTAAATTAGGCTTAAAAATGGACTTACTGTCTGAAATAACATTTTGTAAATATTGTACAGAACAACTTAAGCTCTCTGAAGACGAGGGACTTGAATGTACAGTGTGTAAAAAGAATGTACATTTGAGATGTTTAAAAAGGGGAGCAGTTCCTGGGGGTCTTGCTGGGGACACATTTTTTACTTTTATTTGTTTGGAGTGCTCAGCCAATCAAACTGAAAATTTTACTCGAACTAAGCTGTCCTGGTAAGTGAATATGTATTTTTGTAATTAAGTAAGGTATCTTAAGATTTTCATATGAAATATCTTTTTAGTTATTTTATAATTATATTTTATATTTAAGTATAATATATTAAGATATTTCTGATATTGGAAATGTTGAAAACAAAAGAAACTAACTGCATTTTATGACTTAATCCTCAGACAAGGAAAGAGAGAGGACAGGTAACACTCATTTAATAAACCTTTGAAAAGTGAAGCCTGTTTTGATGTGACTGCCATGTTTTGGTGCCTGTACATTGCCCATTACTAAATCTCGCAGGGTTACCAGTACGGACAGCAAAAGTGCAGTAGATAAACTTAAAAAAGTAAACATAAATGGAGCAGTAAATCATATTGAAGCAAATATCCTGTATTTACATAATGAGATACACATCAAGAATAAAGTCGTCATATATCTATGGGTAAAGGGACACTCAGGTATAACAGGTAATGAAATAGTAGATGCCATAGCAAAAACATCCCCAACATCAGGAGAAGAACTAAATTTTAAACTACCTCCGTCTGACTTATTCTTAAACCAAAGAAACAAAATAAATGAGATGTGGCAAAACCTATACAACGCTTCAACAACCGGATCAAACTTTTGTAAACACCAGCAAAAAATTCCCAGAAAACCATGGTTTCACAAAATACCAAACAGAAACTTTGTCCCCACAATAAATATAGTACATGCTAATCATGCACTAACACCTTATTATAAGCACAAAATGAAAATTGCAGATGATTCATGTTGTAGTTGTGGTAAAATGGGTACATTAGTAGATGTTTTACTTGAATGTCCAATAAATAATGTAAACATTAATAAACTATATAAAAACTTAATTCACTACAAGATAAACCTTCCAATAGACCTAAATTGTATTATTTTTTCAGGAAACAATGATATCCTTTATGTACTTCATCAACACATCATAAACTGTAAACTAAAACTGTAAAATTACTAACCAATTTTGTAAGCAATTCTGCGAAAGAAACTAAATGTAAAGCATTATAGGAAAAAAACACACACAAAGAGGGCTAAAACCTCCAAGCGGATGAACCGGGTTGACGCCCTAGCGCAAGAAAAAAAAATTAATTAATGTACCAATTAACATTAAAAAAAATATTAAGCACCTTACTCATTTTATATATTACTAACAAAACAAATGAATACATCATGCTCAGGTTTGATACTATGAAACATTTTACACAAATTAATGATTCAATTTTAGCCAGACTATGTTAGATTACACAATCTAACATAGTCTGGCTAATTCGTTCTTGCCAAAGCCATAAATTCCATGAAAAAAAAAAACACCATCTGATATAGATCAATAAATGAGTGTTCACCTAGATGTAAAATGTTATCCTTCACAATAGAACTCCCAGATTTTTTAGAGTTTATATTGTTGTATTTTGAAAGTGTGCTACCAGTCTACAGAGCTATAATGTATCATTTTATTAAACATATACATATTTTAAATTATAAGACCTTAACATGATTTATTAGGTATTATATAGATTTTTGATGTGTGTTCCTGAAACATCTCTTTGTTTACAACTCAAAATTAGATACTATCAAATACAAAATAATATTACAATTCTGTAATTTTCAGGCTTCAAGTCATAGTATTAGTATTGTATCACTTACAAAATAAGAGTCCAGGTTTAGCTAGAAAAGGATTTTTTCATTGGAGACATCATGTTGCTACTTTTGTTGACAAAAATTGGGAAATATTATTTCCAAGTGATCAAAAGAGAAAAAAGAAATGGATGGGAACAATAGCTGGAACACTTTCCCATTTTAACAGATATATTTTCTTATCTGGTATTACAGTATTCAATGAACCTGCTTTCTGGGCATTGATGTATCCTAAAATTAGCCCTTTGACAGTTTCAATAGTATGTAAGTAAAAACAAATTTTAATAAAATTAACATACATTTTAATGCCCATTAATTCAGTTAATAGATTTGAAGAAAGCATTATTCTAAGTATCATTCTGAAAATAAATAAATTCTGGAAATTTAATAATGCTTGTTTAACATTATAACTAACTGGACAAAAAATGTTTTAATATTCACAAGTATTTCTTGTTCTTCCATTTTATATTAGAGTATTTAGTGTTATCACTTTAAGTTTTCTTCAAGCATCTAGTTATAAGGCAGTAGGAGATTTATCTTGAGCCACCTTAGTAGGTACCCTTTTATAATCAACTCCGATGATGTGAATGCATTTATGGCTCTTACTTCCAAATTCCGTTCATATTTGTCACTATTTCTTAGTATTTTTCACTAATTATATTTCTTAGTAGTTTTCTTGTCTTATCCATCATATGTGTCGATAGTAGGACAATTTTCAATTAAAGGTGACTAATCTACAAATTGAACTAAACAGGAACGGCAACCATGTTAAATGTCAGCAGTGAATTCTTACCGGGGTCATTTTTACTGTGTATGCTTCGCCCATGTAAATAGGTGAAAAAGTAATATAGTTCTCATAATTTTTTTTTGTATTACTTGATTTTTTGTCACTTACTAGTTTCCAGCAAAGAAAACATTACATTTGAACTTTCCTTTACTTTTTCGGCACAATTCACTAAAAATTACGCATTTTTGAGGCGTACCCTCTTACTATATAATTACAGAAGTTTCATTTGGGGCAAAATAAAAAAATTGCAGACGAAAGTTACATTCTTCACCTTTAAAACGCATTTTGGCGGAAAACTAGTAACTCAATTCGCCCAAACGATTTCGATAGATGCTAGAAGGAACTGATTGTTTATAATTATCTGTATATATTTTAGATTCGGCAATGATTTTAGAAAAACAAAACATGAAAAATAGGAAGGAAACACTTGCCCCAGATGCAGAATTATTTTATAGCTTTTTAAGTAAATTTGTAGAAAATCCAGAACTAATTAAAAATTTTAATAACATCAGTGTACAACCAGTAATGGATGTTGATGTAGAAGACAACCAAAAGGTAATAAAATTCAAAAGTATTTTTATTTTAGTTGCAAATATTTAATAAATTCAAGCTTTAACATTATACCATTTGTAGGAGGTAAAAGCAAAAATCAATTATAAAAGGAAAAAGACAAAATTTCTTGGTTTCAATACGAGAAAGTAAGTGCTATTCATTTAGTTTTAAAGAGAAGTACAAATTGTCTAATTAATCAGAATCACAAATTATTAGTTATTTTATTTCACTGTCAAAGCTTATTTCTACCAAGAATATGGTTAAATCCATAGATTTTCTAGTGTTTAAACTTTACATTTATAACTTTTTTTACCAGTTTTATAATTATTTAAAATCTAGTACAATAATCGGACAAGAAATAGGAGAGGGTTGTATGTTCTAATTGATCATACAGAGGAGCAAACACTGATTTAGACCACATATTAATAATAGAAAAATTAAAAATGAAAATAATAAAAACGCAGGCTCAACGAAACAAAAAAAAAACTGGAATCTTGACTAGCTAAAAATAAAAGAAGTATACAATAAATACGCAGAAGGCGTAGCAAAAAAACTACATACAGCCGAGACTAAGCATATAGAAACTGACCGGAACAACATCAGAGCAAGCGTAATAGACGCAGCAGAGGAAACAATAGGACAAATGCAAAAAAGTGAATCAAAATAGAACAAGTTACCTAGGTAATACGGAAGAAGAAATTGACGAATTAATATCAAAAGGTGAGCAAAATTAGGTAAAAAAGAAGAAAATACTGAAACCAAAATAGGGATGCATGGTTACAGTACAGAGAGGTCTTAAGAAAAGAATTTGTAGAACGTTATCAACAAGAATATTCCGACATGAACACAATTAATAAAGAAATGCAACGAAAGCTCTTGAAAGCAGAAAGAAAGAAAAGAAGAGCCGAATAAGTGAAGGAACAAAATGGTTGATGGAAACACCAATGGTTTCAAAGAATTGAATAAACAAATAAAGAAGGGAGTAAAGGAAGATTTAAGATCTATAATGAAAACAAGGTAGAAAAAATAATAGAAAAGAATCGAGGCCTGAAATGCTTAAGATCAAACTTAGGAAACTCTATAATAATCTCATTGAAGGATAAAGATGGAAAAGAAATAAGAAAAAAGAACGAAATCCTAAAAGTTACTCAAACATTTTACCGTGATTTATATTCTTCAAACAAGAACCCAGATAACTCAGAAATACTCCCTAACATAGAATCCTTCGAAATAATACAAGCTATGGCACAACTAAAGAACAATAAAGCTCCGGGCCCAGATGGAATACTTGTAGAAATGTTAAAGGAGTGAAATTATTCTCGAATAATTGAAAAACTTTTTCAACGAATGTCTTCACAGAGGAGAAGTCCCGGATGATTGGAATGAAAGTTTAACAATACTTCTCTTCAAAAAGGGAAACAGGGGAGATCTGAAGAACTATAGGCCAATCTCCCTGCTGTCCCAAATGTACAAACTGTTTATGAGAGTAATAACTAACAGGTTAACGTCGAAGCTCGAACCTCGAAGCTATCAACCGGTAGAGCAGGCAGAATTCCGAAAGGGTTACAGTACAGCGCATCATCTTCTTACAGTCAGAACTCTAATAGAGAAAGCCAATGAATATCACTTGAACTTATACATTGGCTTGGTTGATTATGAAAAGGCATTCGACTCTATAGAACTTTGGGCAATAGAGAGAGCTATGAACAACTGCAGGATAGACTCCCGATACAGAATGCTCATACATAATATTTACCAGAAAGCTACAATGAAAATACAAATAGATGCGAAAACCAAAGCTATAATCAACAGTGGAATTCGCCAGGGAGATGTTATTTCACCAAAACTAATCACACTTGGACTGGAAGACGTGTCCAAAGGAATTAACTGGGCAGATAAAGAAATAAATGTTAATGGAAGAAAACTGAGTCATTTAAGATACACTGATGACATTGTAATATTCGCTACAAGTTTCGAAGAACTACAGACTATTACAGACCAGATGACGCAACTATTTCAAGCTTCGAAAAAAGTAGGTCTTAAGATGAACTTGGAAAAAACAAAAATAATGACAAATACACCGAACATTAGAGAAATAACGTTGAATGAACAGTAAGTGAATACATCTGCCTCGGACAGATAGTGGAAGTTAACAAAGAAAATCAAACTGCCGAAATTACCAGAAGAATAAGGTTAGCGTGGGCAGGATTTGGAAAACTGAGTTGGATCTTGAAAAGCACTAAGGTGTATCCTCCCTATACTCACGTATGGTTTACAGACGTGAACACTTACCAAGTCTAATATGGATAAAATAGTAAAAGCACAAAGAGCGATGTAAAGATCAATGCTCGGGGTGCTAGCTAGGACACCCGTATATCCCAGTGTCAACTACCAACAGAGTCATGGAATCGGCAAATAAGAAACGAATTAATTACGGCGAAATTAATGTTCACTTGGATGCGAATGCTAAGAATATAATTTACCCGGAAACGTATCAATGTCTCAATCCCGCTGAACTCTATTACTGAACGACTAAGCATGAAATATTTTGTCCATGTTATGGAGAACGAATAGTGATTCGCTTAAAACGTTGATAGTACAGTGAAAAATAGAAGGAAAAAAGTTCAGGGGAAGATCACTCGCACTCTGTTTCAAATGTGGCATAGTCGATTGTTTTTGATTTTTTTGTTATTAAAAACCATAAAACAAGTGAAAAGCTTTCAACAAACTCATTTCTAGTAAAATTATTCAATCTGAAAAATTCGTTCTCCGATTCGTCTAAAATTTTAGTCTTGCAGATGACTCACTCTCGTGTAATGATTGTCATAGTATGTTTTATTTTCTATGCTCTAGTACTTTCTTGTTGGAGTAGTACCTATATGATACATAAACTTCTAATTGCATATTTTTTTCCCAGAAAAATTTCGTTTAGTAAAACATTTAAATTGTAGATTGGCGAAACTCACCCATACCAGTGTCAACAGTTTGTTTTCTGATGATGTAATAAACGTCAACTTGGATTTACCAGATAATACTATTACCAGTTCTCCAGAACCTAAACAAGAGGAAACAAAAGCCAAAGAGACTTTAAAATTGTTAGACCCTTTTTGCCATTACAATACATCATTAACCAGTAAGTATTTCCATGCTTCTGTGTATCTATCATTAAAATGTATGTATATTAGAATTTAAGCAGTTATCCATCTAGTTTCATTTGTATTCAGCTTTCTTTTCTTTTTTTACATTTCTTAGTGCCGGATTATAGAAGGGTAGTCTGCTATTTCTTGGTCCAGCGCTACGCTTCAACCGCCCATTATTACCTCTGGTTTTACCCAAGGTACTTATGTTATAAGATTACAGGACGTAAGGGTGAATAGAGGAGCAGAGTGCGGCTAGGATCACTGCCTGATAATAGGAAAAATATATACACCATTCGTAGACAGGAACCACACAGACATCAACAAAGAACACAGAGAAAAAATAGAAAGAACTACGTACACCTTAGACAATCTAGATAACGGGAGCACACAGTTACTTTACTCCTGGAGACTAACACAAAAACTACAGGAATCACATAGATCAACGACGGATTAATATGAACATGTAAAAAACTGCATGAAAGACGCAGCGTTAGAAGTCTTAGTGCCACAGGTACGGAGAGTAGATAAACCATATTGGTGGGATAAAGAAGTGGAAGAAAAGATGGAAGTATATCAAAAGTTACTACAGCAGGGAGACGAACAAATAAAACAACAATATAAAAACTTGAATAAAGAAGTCAAACGAGAGGTGGTAAAAAGGAAAAATAGTGCATGGGAACAAAAATGCGAATACCTAGACAACCATATAGGAGGGACAAAGAGCTCTGAAGCCTGGAGAACTATAAAAACGATGGGAACAACGACAAAAAACCAAGTCATAATAAATAGAATACCAGAGAACACATGGGTAGATCATTTTGAGAACTTATTAACAGAGAGAAGAGAAAGGTTTGAACAGGTAAATGAACAAGTGGAAGTAGAAGGAAATATCAATAGAACAAGTGAAAGAAGCAGTTAAGGGAATGAAATTAAGAAAATCTCCAGGCCCAGGCGGAATACATCCAGAGTTGATTAGGTATGGATCATCAAAACTGTTTGAAATGATCCGAAAATTATTCGAAAGATGCTTAAATGGAGAAGAAGTTCTAGAAGAATGGACAATCGTATATCTCTCCAATACACAAGAAAGGCACAAAGACGGATCCTAAAAACTATAGAGGGATCGCAGTGATTGCTACTATAGGCCGACTATACTCAAAAGTACTACGAAACCTGATAGAAAATGATATTAAAGACAAACAACCCGAAGAACAAGTGGGATTTAGGGCCGGACGCTCCACTATGCATAATATTTTCACATTAAAAATTGCAATGGAAAAACGAGTGAAGAGAAATAGAGAAACCCATATAGCTTTAATAGATTTGTAAAAAGTATATGACAGAGTATCGATCTCCCAACTATGGATAGAAATGGATAACTTGAAAATAAACCCAATTCTTATTAACGCCACTCAAAAATATCACGAACAAAACTTTGCAAGAATTAAAATGGGACAAGAAATCACCTCTCCTTTTCAAACAACAAAGGGACTAAGACAAGGCTGCCGTCTGTCACCCACCTTATTTAAAATCTATTTGGACAGATCCTTAGTGAAATGGGTAAAAAAATGTAGAAACATGGAAATAACGGTTGAAGAAAACACTCTATATACACTTTTCTTTGCGGATGACCAGGTAGTAATTGCCGAAGACAGCTACGATCTTAGCTATATGGCAAGAAAACTGCAAGAAGAATATGAGGTGGCAGGTCTAAACATGAATATGACAAAATGTGAATATCTCTCAGTGGGAACAGATGAAATATGCGACCTAGTCTTGGAAGACTTCAAAATGAAAGACGTACAATCCTGCAAATATTTGCGGGTTATTTTCAATAAGAAGGGAAATAGCGCAGATGAAATCAGGGAAAGAATAAACAAGGGTAGAGCAGCGACCCGTGCCTTAAACTCTCTTCCCCGACAAAAAACAATTCGACGAGAAACCAAAAAACACATTTACTACTAAAAACAAATTCATACAAAAGCTTAAAAAAACTTAATAACTTAATTAACTTTATTTTATGGGAAAGTAATAGGTACATATGGTTTTATATTTAAATTTTTAATCATTATCGCTATCTATTAATGGTTTGCACCGTTTGCGAAGTGGCTCAAAATGATATTCATCGGCATAAGAAACTGTCTCTGCAGTAGGTATTTGCGGTAAAGGTATGGATTTTCACAAACTTCACTCTCTTTCTGTGTAGCTTTTCTTTTTCTGACAATGTAACCAGTATGATGTCACCATCACAGCTTTGCGATGGTGATGCTAGTCATTTTTTATTTAGCTCACGAAAAAAACTAATGATTTTTATATGCCTTGCCGATGTATCTTGTTTTGTTGTAACCAAGTCCCGTCATCTCTGTAGCATCATAATATAGGCAGCTCTAGCTTCTTCTTGTTGCTCGGCGGATTTGATCGCAGCTTCAAAAATTTCTACTCCTTTGTATGAAAGTTTGTAGGGCTCAACAGTCTCTGGTTCTTCGATGTCTTCACTCCCTTCACTATTACCAAGAGTAAAAATTTCTTCATCGGTTATTTCATACTGGTCATCTCTTGAAAATCACTTAAACACGCATCCTCACATCCAGGGATAAGTTTCACTAAGGGCAAAATATTTTCCAGAACTTCATCCAGAGTGTTGTCCTCGGTTTCTTCATCATCACCCAACAGCTTAACCCAAATAATAGTTAGTGACCCAAACATCTTTCAAATTGATGGTTTTCAATGTAAGTATTAAGTCTCGGTCATCGTTCATTTCTTGTATCATGGTTGATAGAAGGATTCTCAGATAGTTTCTTTTCAGCGTCTCCAAAACACCCTGGTCCATAGGTTGACAGATGGCTGTGACATTCGGAGGGAGCAACATGGCCTTTATATCCCCATCTTTAAGTTCACTTTCATTGTGATAAGTCAGCGCATTATCTAACAGTAAGACTGCTTTTCTTGGTAGATTATTGTCTCTTAAAAACTCCCTGTTGATAATACGAAATTCACGAAGATCCAATTTTTAAAAAGGCCACTGCTCATCCATGCACTTTTCCAATTGCAATATTTCACTGACAGAGCGCGTTTTGAAATTTTCTTAAATGTTCTGGGGTTCTTTGCCTTTCCAATCATTGTCAGTTCCATTTTATGGTTTGATGTGGCATTGCTACAGGCCAACATGGTTTATATCCTGGAGCTGCTGATTCACTTTAAGCTGTAAGAATCTTATTGGGTGACATTATATAATGAAGGCCTGTTTCATCGCAATTTATTTGATCAACCGTTAAAATTTCAACTTAACAAATGCTTTAATTTTTTTCTTAAATGTATCCATTCCTTCAAAGTTGGATGACAATTTCTCACCGCAAATAGAGAGCTGACGAATCCCGTAGCGCTTCTTCCAGCTGTCTAGCAAGCCGATATTTGCTGTAAAATCTGCCTCACCCTCTTGAATTGTTTGAGTAGGAAGTGCAATGTCTTTTCTTTTAATGTAGAGTTGGATATAGGTAATCCTTTATACCTAAACTAGCCAAAACAATGTACAAAGCCTCGCTAGATTTTCCGTAATCACTTTTTTCATGTTTTTTTGTCTTAAGTCGATTTCAGTGACTCGTGAAGAACAGAATTTTTCAATTCTGATCAGTTTTCCTTCAATTTCCAACAGTACGACGATCAACACCATAGTCATCATCCACTCTCTCCAGTGTTTTTCCTTTATCAAGCCTTTAGTTTGTCTTGCATTGTTTTTCCTTTTTTGTTTTTCCATAACCACGATGACAGCAAACGGAAAATACTTTTACTAAAGCGTACTGGCACTCAAAATGTTACAGCGAACAAATAACCTTACTGTGCACTCAACTCACAAAAATAAACAGTAGTTGACTCCATGAAAGCATAGTAGCAGTTAAAGTGAATGTGAAATTGAAGGACTGGGCTGGAGGATGTCAATCACCTGTTTTTTGTCGCCAAATTTCAAAAGTTATATTATATTATACTACCTGATACCTGATACCTATATATACTTATTATTGTAATTTACTATTTTCATTATATTTCTACTTTAATAAAATTTTTAATTTTATAGGCATCGCTAGAGCTAGAGGCCTAACGCTTCATGCTAAATTGACAGGAGGAATAAGACAGGAATTAATACTATCCCCCTATAGTGGCATTTATCTGAAGCCTTACATTCGAAGAGACGTAGAAACCTTTCCCACTTGGTTAAAATTAATGGCAGAAATCCAAGTGACTGCGAATAAATCTAATAAGGATTATCTGTTACCACCCAGAGGACCTATTGATTACACATATATTCAACCTGAACATATACCGGCTATCAATAGTCTTTGTAATCAATTTTTTTGGCCTGGGATAGATTGTAAGTTATTTCTATTATATTTTGTTGAGATAATTAGTTATTCTTATAGCTTATAGCTATTCTGATTAGCAAAAAATTGTTACCAATATAAGGAGCGAAAGGTACAACATGCTCAGATAAAATATCTGTTATGTATCGTTTACTGTTTAAAGAATTTCCACGTGAAGGAACAAGATCTGTCTGCGCTGTTAAAGAAATTCCTCCCTATACCATTCTAGACCCTTCATTAAATTTTACGTATGTTTTACTGGGCATAACGCTTATTTGGTCGTCGAATTACTGTTGCGTAACAACATTTAATATGTTTACTTAATTTTGTATTATATCATCACATCACACTGTATATTAATTTTAAGGTTTAGATAGAAGTTCTTTTGTACCATTTAATAATATGTACAGCGCTGATAGGTCAAGCCTAGCCTCTGCCAAGGAAAAAGGCAAAAAGGCAAAGGAAAAAAAACATTCAAAACGTGTTTTCTTGGAAATGTGTTTCATAAAATCCAATACGTCTTGTATAAATAAAAAGTGTGACATAGATAAACTGAGCAACATTTATTGTTACTTACTAACAAAACATCAAAAATGAAATAAAGACTTACTTTTACATATACACACCATAATACATCTGCATGCAAAATATGTTGCATACCATCAAGACAGACTTAATACATTACTTTCATTAAAAAACATGAAGAACATCTAATTACATTTTAATCATACTATTTCTGTTTTTTTTTCTTTCTGTTCTCTATGGATCAGTTAAAACACACCATTAAAAGATGTCACAAACGAAGTTTTACTATCCTTTTTTTACTTTTAACTAAATTTTAAAATGTATTTTGACCATTATTTTATATTATGTTATATTTTATATGTGTGTTATTAATGTTGAGTGTCATAACTTTATATAAATAATCTCAACGACTAGTAAGTTGCACTGCCAATTTGTGATATATTGTAAATATTTACACATTCTTCTAATGCCTTTCTGAAGTTCATTTTTAAAAGTAAATGTGCTTACGACTAAAATTTAAACTTACATCAAATTATTATTATTATTATTTCATTTTTAGTGACAGAAACGCTACAGTACCCAGACTTTAGCTGTATTGTTTTATACAAAAGACTGATTATAGGATTCGCCTTTTTAGTCCCAGATGTCAAAAATACCGAAAATTATATGTCGTTTTTATTTACAAGACCTGGATGGAGAAACTGCGGCATTGCCAAATTTATGATTTATCATTTAATTCAAGTAAGTAATACAAAATACAAAATCACCATGATATTAAAAGTAAAAAAAAAGTATAAAAACTTTTTCCTGGATTAGTTGAATCAAAACATTTTCGGTCGTATCAAATCATCCCTTTTTATGTATAGCCACATAAAAAGAGACTCAAATCTTTGTTTTACATATTAAAACTTAAATAACATTATGAAGCAGAAACATAATGTCGATGATTGAATGTGTAAATTAAACAGATTATAGTAATAGTTAAAAATGTTAAGGATAAACACTTAAAGGCAGATACATTAATCAAGAAAAACCATGGATGACAGATGAGATACTGACACTAATGGATGCAAAAAGAAAAGTCATAAATGACCCAGACATATATAAAACGATAAATATATCAATAAGAAGGAAAATCAGAAAAGCGAAAGAAAAAAAGCAATGGAAAGATGCGAAGAAATTGAGACTATCAATTAAATAGATTCAGGATAGATAGATAGACACCAACCATTTAAGTAATATCTACTGCAATATACTAAACAATATATGATATGATAGATCTTAATATCAGTATTACAATAACTGACTACGTACCATCAATTACATTTTACAGATCAAATTACCATGTTCCTGATTCTTTCTCAATTCTTACTTTTCCACCTTATAATATGCATATAACTGTCATAATCATTGTTTATTATAACTTATTCACTAAAAATTGTACAATGGGAATTCACTCTATAAAATATTGAGGTTACCATAACTCCCAAATAAATTAAAATAAAAAAAATGTCATTGAAGTAGATATGTTATCAATTTAAATTTTTACTCTTATAGTTGTAAGTATTGAAATGAAATATTCACTTTGTTTACATATAATAATTATAGTAATTATTATACATTGGAAACCAGCTATATAGTATAGTATGTATTTAGACCCTTAGCAGATTATATATATATATATATATATATATATATATATATATATATATATATATATATATATATATATATATATATACCGGGTGGTGAATCGTCAAACGGACCATAGGAAACTCAATGAGAAATTTTAAATTGTTGAATTGCTGCTTCCCTAATTATTTTAGATCAAAAGTCATAAAAAACTATTTGTAGAGGACTAAAATCTGAATTAAAAACCAATGTTAAAACCGTTCTACGACTCAAATGTACTTAAAAATTTTGCAAAAATATAATACATTTTTCAGGCCACCCCTAAAAGTTAGGCCACACGTAATGCAAGAATATATATTAGGACGTTTGTGTTTTATCATATTTATGTCAGATGTTTGACAATTTGAATTGTCAATTGTTTTATTTTATGATTAAATTATAAACAATGAATTTTACTAAATACTACTACTATGTAGTTGTATTCAGGCAATAGCGCGAACCTTATCCTGCCACTACCGGATCTTTATTTAACGTAAGATATTCTAATTCACTAAAATTTAATTCCATGTTAAGTTAAGTTTACAACAATTCAATGAATTCCAATATACTGTTACTGTGATCTTTATTCCTAATAATAATATATGATAATTTCTAAACATAAAACTATAACAAATGTTATAATAAAACATGAATAAAACATTTTTATTATTGCTTTTTTCTTCTCAACTAAGTACATTGTTTAATCAACTTAATTTTTTTTAACAATAAATCACAAAATTTTGGCCATTTAAATCATAGATAAATGTAATATAATTGATTTAAATATTGTCAAATATCAGAAACAATAGTATGACAAAACGCAACACATAATACACATTTTTTCACAGAAAAATGTATTATATTTTAGCAAAATTTTGGAATACGTTTAAGTCGTAGAATAATTTTAACAGTTGTTTTCGATACATATTTGAGTCCTCTACAAATAGTTTCCCATGACTTTTGGTGTAAAATAATTAGGGAAGCAGGAATTCAACAATTTAGAATTTCCCATTGAGTTTCCTATGGTCCGTTTGACGATTCACCACCCTGTATATATATATATATATATATATATATATATATATATATATATATATATATACCGGGTGGTGAATCGTCAAACGGGCCATAGGAAACTCAATGAGAAATTTTAAATTGTTGAATTGCTGCTTCCCTAATTATTTTAGATCAAAAGTCATAAAAAACTATTTGTAGAGGACTAAAATCTGAATTAAAAACAAATGTTAAAACCGTTCTACGAATCAACTGTACTTCAAAATTTTGAAAAAATGTGATACATTTTTCAGACCACCCCTAAAAGTTAGGCCACACGTAATGCAGGAATATATATTAGGACGTGTTTGTTTTATCATATTAATGTCAGATCACAGATTATAAGACAAGAAGATCGCCAACCTTAATGTTAAAAATTGCCGATACGATTTACAGCGCCCTCTACGGTAGAATTCTACACTAAATGCTAATAACTTTGTAACTTACCTTAACGAAGGCCAAAAAAAAGAAGACAGAAATCTGTTAATGAGAAGCGGGAAATTCAAATTTATATGACGCGGGAAATTCAAAATTATTGTAGGAATTCTCAATAATTTAAAGGGACACTGTCAAGATACATTGTAAAAATAAAAATATATCCGTCTGAACGTTTCAATCTATCACATTTTTAGCAATACAACTGTGTTGGTCGTGTTTGAATTTAAATTCGTTAAAAATTGTTTAGAAATGAAATAAACCGAAACGTTCGGATGCAAAGAATTTTATTTTTACCACCATCTTGCACAAGTCCTATTAAATTATAGGATTTAAAATTTAATGGTTATAAAACAAATCATTATTGCTGTAATTCATTTCGCACATTTGCATAACATAATTTTAACAATGAGTAAATAAATCATAAAAATTCTATTTGGCAAATGTGAAGTTCATAGTTCATATGACAGAAGAAAGATAAGATTGAAGATGATAAGAAGAATAAGGTTGAATCTCACTCAAGCTAGGAAAAAAATAAAAATGTTCTATATAGTACAAGTGTTTTATTTATGGTGGTGGTGGAGATATAAAAACATAAATTACAAATAACAATGTCCAAAGAAAAATAACAATTTTAACTATAGTAATACAAACGTGAAAATATCAAAATTTATCTGACTCATTATTAACATACACAATATCATTATTGAAAAGAATATACATAGGTTATTGAAGAAGAATTATACATACATTTATATTTGCATAGGATGACACATATATTATATCGTCTTTGGATTTGGATCACAACACAGATTATAAGACAAGAATCACATTTATCACAATTAAAACGAGATTTGAATATTCAACAATCCGTTGGATGACATGCGGATGACAGATGACACTGTTTGTGTTTTTTAAAAATTGTAGGTCACCATCAATCATTACCTGGAGTGACATCTGTGCTAGAAAATATTACTAAAAACGATGTCGTTGACAAGACTATTCAAGTTAACCCCCCTGTGTCAGATGTTTGACAATTTGAATTGTCAATTTTTTTATTTTATGATTAATTTATAAACAATGAATTTTACTAAATACTACTACTACTGAACATTATTACTTTGTGAACAATAAATAATATTGTTTACAAATCGATCAATATAATGAAATGTACTCAGTTGACGAAAAATCGCATAACGTTGTATTCAGGCAATAGCGCGAACCTTTTCCTGCCACTACCGGATCTTTATTTAACGTAAGATATTCTAATTCACTAAAATTTAATTCCATGTTAAGTTAAGTTATACAACAATTCAATGAATTCCAATATACTGTTACTGTGATCTTTATTCCTAATAATAATATATGATTATTTCTAAACATAAAACTATAACAAATGTTATAATAAAACATGAATAAAACATTTTTATTATTGCTTTTTTCTCCTCAACTGAGTACATTTTTTAATCAACTTAATTTTTTTTTAACAATAAATCATACAATTTTGGCCATTTAAATCATAGATAAATATAATATAATTGATTTAAATATTGTCAAATATCAGAAACAATAATATGACAAAACGCAACACGTAATACACATTTTTTCACAGAAAAATGTATTATATTTTAGCAAAATTTTGGAATACGTTTAAGTCGTAGAATAATTTTAACAGTTGTTTTCGATACATATTTGAGTCCTCTACAAATAGTTTCCCATGACTTTTGGTGTAAAATAATTAGGGAAGCAGGAATTCAACAATTTAGAATTTACCATTGAGTTTCCTATGGCCCGTTTGCCGATTCACCACCCTGTATATATATATATATATATATATATATATATATATATATATATATATATATATTTGTGGATATTTTTTTTATTTTTCAGACCAGTTTAGAGAAGGACATAACTCTTCACGTTTCAATGAACAATCCTGCATTGTTATTATATCAGAGATTTGGTTTTAAAGTCGAGAACGTAGTATTAGGATTTTATGATAAGTTTCTCAGAAGTGAAGTAAACGATTCCAAACACGCATTTTTCTGTAGATTGGAAAGGAGATAACAATAGTACAAAAATATTGTTAATAACGTATATGTATTTTAATTGTATTTATTATTGTATTACACTCGATTTTTGAAACTTGTGTTTTATTTATGTGTGTATCGGGTCTTGCACTTAAAACATTGATATGTGAATATTTAGACAGATTCATTGTCGGAAAATATGGCACAAAAATTCCTAAAATACCTCTCTGTATTAATAGCTCAAATTAACTTACTTTTATAGACTCATTTAAAAATGCAGAATAATCATTCATTCATTTAAATTAAAACCATTCTATTTGTAAATAACAATCTATAATGGACTCAAATTTTTAAAAATAAATAGTTAAATCTTTGTTTTAATCAAGTGAATAATTCCTTACCTTAACTTAAACTTAATATTAATTTTGAACGCATGTGCTTGGTTGTATAGTAGCTTCCATCCAATTACATTCGAAGTCAAAATTTGTCCGATATCAAGAAATGAATTACCAAATTTACGACGCATTTGGGACTGGGATCAGTGAATCAAGTATACAAAGTAAATTTTATTCATTTTACACAAATGACAGTTCAAATTTTGGCGAGAACGCTTTTGACAGTGTAAATTTTGGCGAATAATAAACTCTTTACAAATTCGGCAAACGGTTACTGTTTGGAAAAGTGTTCAAAACTGATTTAAATATTTTATTTTTATTATTCAGAATATGACCTTATTTAGTTTTAAATCTTTTATTTAATTATAATATATTAGCTAATTATAATATGGCTTTAGTTCCACATCTTTTAAATTCTCGAACTCAAATTGGTTGTTTAATTATTGCCAAGTTCTGAGAATTCACTTGTCTGAAAAACAACATATTTTGGGAAACTATTTATCAACCCAAAACACTTGTGTAGAAAGTGTAAAATGACATTTTGAGCTTAATTTATTGCTATGCACGGAGGCCCTAAGAACAAAAGAATCATCATAGTCGATTATCGTACATACGTACCTTTTTTTGTATGATCGGTCCCTCTGCAATGGCTGAGGATCGCCAGGGCACGTCTGGAGCCTGCGCTGGACGTCACAGCATGCCGCACGTCGGCGGCAGGGTGTTGTGGAGGCGAGTTCCTGTCATACAATCAGCTACAGCCCAACAACAACAACCACGAGGATGCCAAACAACAACTAGATCTCCACTCGCTGAAGGTGCTGCGCTGGAACATCAGCCGGCGCTCACTCAAGCGGGACGACCGAGGCAACGCATGAAATGGACTGTGTCTATAAATGAAAACATTTTGCGTTTCTATTACAAGGTGACGAACCTCGATCGAGAAACGATGGGCTATCGACAACATCTGTATGGCGAATTTTGCAGGGAGTACCCAGAGATTCAAGTCTCTGAACAGCGAATAGCAGATCAATACCGGGTAATTATAAGAAATAATCTTATCCTAGAGACTTGACGCGATACCATCAGCAGTGAAGTGAACGGGAGATTCATAACCAAGAGCTAGTTGTGGATCAAGTCCATAATGAAATCCTTAATGATCAGATTCCTGAGCTTTTCATACAAGAAACTAAACCTGTTAATACGCAGCAGGACAACAACGAGTTGCACGATAGCCTGGTAAGAGAAATGGCACGTGCCGTATAAGAGTTTAATGGGACAAACCCACTTAGCAGACCACCGCTACCAAAAATAAACTCTTGTGAGAAACTAGGGGCGCTGTTACAATTTATGAACACTGAAGTCCTAACCAACTATATCGTGGAAGCTCACACATTGGAATATTTGCATATGCTGATTTACTGTGCAGCAACAGCAATTGTTAATATTATGGGCATTAAGATCAGAACACGACGGGGTACTAATATCGAAAGGACAGATAACAGAGTTGCACCCTGGGGGAAAACGGCTACTAATTAGAAACATTACGTAGGACAATGGACAAATCACGGAATATGTTCGAGGAACAACAAGTAGAAAAGTAATCAGAAGAGCTGAAGAAATAATGCTCACAGACTCACAATATAATCTAGAAAACAACACAGCACAGCAGTGTCTGGATACATTAAAACAAAAACTTTCCGTTTACTCTGGCCGACTAAGGAGATACAAAATTAATAACAAACGAAAATTCGACAATATGCTTTTTGAGAATGCCGAGAAGGAGTTCTATCGGAAACTCAATTCTACTGCGGAAAGTGCCAATAAATCGTACCCAAGCCAAGAAGAAATCCATGAGTTTTGTGGAAATCAACTTTCCCCACCAGCTGCTGCTAACACCAATGCTGGATGGATCGAAGATACGGCGCACAACTGTCTACTGAAGAACTTCTGGCTTAAGAAGTTCTGGAGTAGTCATGAGTGCTTATCAGCATTAATTAATCACAGTATTTCTAATCCGCAGGAAATACCATCTTTCCTAACCCAGGGAACAACTTATTTATTACCAAAAGATCAAAATAACACCAAAGATCCAACCAAGTATCCCCCAATTACTTGTCTTCCAACTCTGTATAAATTGGTCACATTCTGTGTAGCCCGGCGTATCTACCAACACTGTGCTCTAAACAATATCATAGAGCCTCAACAGAAAGGGTGCGCTAAGGGTTCCATGAGCTGTAAAGAACAACTTATCATCGACTCTGTCATTTCTAACCAAGTGTATAGCAAAAAAAGGAATCTCTTTACTGCTTTCAACGACTACAAGAAAGCGTTTGATTCAGTGCCACATGAATGGCTTATATATATATTAATAATATTAAAAGTCGATGATAACAGTTTGACGACCAAAATTCACCTCCAAATACCTGGTGAAAATAATATCGAAACTGAAAATATTGCAATCAACCGGAGCCTATTTCAAGGAGACTCGTTGAGTCCACTGTGGTTTTCTTTAGCGATGAACCCCCTATCCCAGCTACTGAACTCAACTAACACAGGTTTTAGCATCAAAAATAACACCACTGTTCTGACAAAACTTAATCATCTATTGTATATGGATGATTTAAAACTATTGGATTCCACTCGAAGCCACCTGGATCAGATGCTGAAAACAGTGGAAAATGTCTCTACTGATATTACTATGCACTTCGGCCTTGACAAGTGCCGTGTCTTAAATATAATCAAAGGAAAGGTTCAGCCCTGTGGATTCGATATGCAAAACGGCCAGAACATCGAGACCATAGGTGAAAATGATATGTATAAATACCTGGGATTAAAGCAAGATCGGAAAATTGACCGCAAGCAAATGAAAACTGAAACAACTACTGAGTTTATATGAAGGGTAAAACAGGTACTTCGTTCACATCTTAATAGTATTGTTAAGTGGACAAAAACGGACATAGAAAAATCTTCACCGAAAAGTACAAACACACCTCACAAAGGGACAAAAACATCATCCTCGAAGTGCAGAAGAAAGAACGACATTACCGCGGTATTTAGGAGGACGAGGACTTATGGATATAGGTGAGTAACTAGAAAAACACATTACTAATTTAAGAACTTAAATTCAGATGCAAGCTGAGACATTTGCTCTATATCGCGCAATTTGTGCAGTAGATGATACAACAACGATCAAACTGAGGGAACCAAAATTTCGCACAAACCATGTTACTAAGGACGAAAAAATGCGCACCTGGATGGCACTCTTTACGGGCGACATCCAAATGAGGTCAATCAAGACCATGTCGACAATATAGCATTCATTACTCGCCATTCAGAATCAGGTTGTATCAACCAAAAATTACCTGAAATATATCATCAAAGACCCTCAGGTCCAAAATGATAAATGCCGATACGGATGTCAAGCTCAAGAAATCATCCAACACCTTACCGGAGGCTGCCAGGCATTTGCTAGAACTAAATATAAGGAATGGCATGACTCAGTGGGAAAGATCCTTCATCAAGAGATGCCATCAAACTGGGACTTCTCCAAACAAACCATTTCCTATATTATCATTACGTTTCTGAAAGCATACTTGAGAATGATAACTACAAGCTACACTGGGACCGCACTGTGCTCACAGACCAAACAGTGACACATAATAGACCAGATCTTATACTAGTTAATAAACTAAAGATACAAACAACACTAATTGATGTGGTGATACCCAACAACAATAATCTTCGTGTTAAACAGAACGAAAAGATCACCAAGTACAGGGATCTGGAAATTCAAATACGAAGACAGTGGAGAATGGAAAGGACTCAGACAGTACCTATTATTTTCTCTACTACTGGAGTCATTCCGAAGAACCTCCTAGAAAACCTAAAAAATCTAGGTCTGAATGAACATCTCTACAAGACCATGCAGAAAGATGTACTGCTCTCAACGTCCAGATGTGTACGAAATTTTTTGGGAGATACTCCAGCATACCAAGTTATCTAGGGCTCGATAACACGAAAAGAGTCCCACCAGAGCTCAATCCTTTTGATACCGTAGGTATCTGGGATGAGTGATATTTTTCCCTTAGAGGGAGTGTGAGCTATGGCTATTTAGACGTATGGCTAAATCTGGATTATAATATTTAATATTATATTATAATAATATAAATACGTCTATATAACAATGTAAATACCATTTTATAATAAAGTATGGTTTCATTTTAGCTATATTTAATATCTTCAGTACTTCATTTGTTGAGTGAATTTACGTCATTTCATGTCACAGAATAAATAACAATCAGAATGTCCACTCTCAGATGCCGCCTTTGAAATGTGTCAGCACGCGATAGCTATATTTTTAAACGGAAACAGACTGATTGAAATTGGTAGGTACAAGCTACTACAAGGTAGTACAAGCTACTACAGAACAGTATATTTTGTTATACATCCTTTTAAAAAATTTCCACACTTATTAAAGTTGTATACTCTAGTACGACTATTTTCTACTTTAAAATATATAAGTCGTAATTTTAAAAATTAATTTAATATTACCATAAAAAAAATTATATTAATCCCAAACAGTGAACACCCTAACACACGCTACCACTGAACTTTTTAATGCACACCAGATACATATTTCACT